ATTAAAGTCTCCCATTACTATTATATGAAAGCCTTGTCTGTTCTTTTCTTTAATGAAGCTTTGCACTTTCTTCTGTATCTTTATGCTTCGTCATTTGTCTGAAGGAATATAGATCTGGATAATACATATCTTATTTCATTTCATGAGCATATTAACTACTATCGTGTATCCTTCTGCCTCTTCTATTGAAGCTACTTTCCTTTTCAAATCTTTTCTTATCAAGAGGTTAACTCCTGCACCATATGGAGTGTCTTTATTGGTACTATGAAAATGCTTGAAGATTGTTTGCTTCTGGAAGGCTCATTTTGCCTTTGAATTGGTTAGTTTCGTTTCACATAGTCCCATTATTTCAATGCCTTGTTCCTGCATTTCTTCTGTACGACTATACTAGTTTGTACTATCAGTAATGCCTCTAATATTGTGTGTCCCTATTCTAATTACCTTTTTCTGTATATCTTCCTCTTTTGTTTCTTCAACTTGTTGGTTCTCTCCATTTCTCTCTAGAAATTTATCTTTTTCTATTTGCAGGAAGGTATCAAGATCTTGATCACTCGACTGTCCCCTACTATTGTTCTTCTCTATTTGTCGTGCTTTGCCCTTATTTTGTCTTTTTGACTTGAGAATGGTGGGCTGACATTCCCTTTTTTTCTGTGATTGGACTGGTTTGCTCTTTTAGGAGCGGTTGGCCCTCCTTTTAAGTGGACTTTTTTCTAGTTTGTCTAATTTTTTGCTAAGCTTCTCTAATATTTGGCTTAACTGAGCTGCCTCTGACTCTTGCTTTACAGTTGATCTTCGGTCTCTTGTTTCCTGTCTTGTTGTTTGCCTTTGATACCACCTAGTATCTGAAGCTTCATCATCTATTTCTGAGAAATATTGTGAAGCCTGGTGGGGGACTTGGTTTGCTTCTTGATATCTCCGTCTCCTTAATAACTTTCTATTACTACCAGTTGCTAGTGGTATAGACCTTATTGTACTTCTCCTATTTTCTGATCGATTATTGTTTCTTCTGGGTCTTGCTATTGCTATAGCTTCTTTTTCAGTTTCCATGCTATCTTCATTTCTTATTTCATCTTCACTTGCTCTATCTTGGCTTCTAGGGTCTTGTTTTTTTGTTTCTTTAATTATTATATGTGTATTGCTTGACCTAGCTGGATCAACCGATGCCTTTTGATAATAATGGTTTTTTGCACTCCATCCTAGCCCTTGATTGTCGATCTTTATTTGATGCTGGAGTGCCTCTCTTAGATCTTTTTCATT